AATTTATTTTGTAATACTAAACATTATGGAACCGAAATTTTACATTATATCAAAGAATTGTTTCTAAAATGACAAAAATATGACCTTATTTCAAAATTATGCCAAAATATGCTGTAAAACCAATAAAACTCTAAAATATGCATTTATATGCCCAATAAAAACGACATAATTTTAATAAGAATGACTGGAAACATGCATAATTACATTTAAAAATAGGAATAAACCCTAGGAAAAAAATATGATATGTCATAGAAATCCGGGCCCTAGTAATTAATTTAAACCAAATAGGTTCCTGCTCTTTGTGAAACAAGTTGAGAGGCTGTGACAGCTGGACTGAACTGATTCAGGACTGTATTCAAAGCAGGTTTTAATATCTTAATTGATGACTCAACTTTCTGATATAATAAAATCAGTTTCATGTTGAAAACGCCAGGTAGGAACAACATACACCTGCTAATTATTATAAATGCATACCAAGATTGAAATATGGGTAAAATGGAAGCAAGAATTAATATGATTTAAGACAACTTACAGCAAATTTTTATGTAAACATAAAATCATTCATGAATGAATTAAAGAAGACTATAAAATATTAACATTCTGCTTCTTGACGTGAAAAACAGTGAGTGACAGGGGGAGGGACTGGTGGTATGATGTCCTGCTACCAGTTTGTCCCACTCCTTTTTACTTTTATTCAAAACTGATATGTAAGGTAGTGCAAGAAGATATTAAAAATATGGTAAAAGTGAACAACTCTACAGATGCGACTGAAACTTGTGTAAGTTGCATTAAAAGATTTACTTCAGTCAGTTGATTTTTTACACAGAAAAATAAGATTTTGTTACAAAAAATTCCTGTTTCTAACATTCAGAATGTAAAATATTTTTGTGTGACAAATCAACCACACTGAAGAATCCTTTTTGCACACATACTAAACAAATGTTCTAAGCATCATGTATGAGCATCAATGAAATCTGCACAGCTGTTAAATTTTTTAGCTTTTCTTTGAAATTATTAATTTTTTATGCCATCCAGTATATTAGCTGTATTATGGACTGACAATTCCATTATTACCTCTGTATTGCCACTTCGAACAATGCAAAGAGTGACCATGGGACTTACATCTAATGATGCCAAGCAGTACCAACAGAAGACATGCTTGCAACGCTTGCACATCATCTGTGCACAGCCCTCGTCCTTCTCAATAGGAACATTACACATGGGACAACACTTGATGAGATCGGAGTCAAAAGGAATGCTTGGTTCCATGAGATCTGTGTGTCCTTCCTTGGTCAGGCGTCTGGTGTTCTCCTCACACGAAAATCCTGAGTGCCAAGGGTTCTTGCAGTTTGAACAAAAGTCTGACGAACAAGTTGGGCAGTGGACGCTCTGGGGAAGACAACGCTCTACAGGGCCACAAACATTGCACACTGTTTCACATCCCGCACGTGGGCACCACGTTCTGTTAACATCAAGGTCCACTTCTGTGGAAACAAGGAAGAACAACGTCAAAACTCTTGAAGCAAATAAAAACAGAATTGTTAAACTGATTTCTTGTATACCGTTGACATTAATTTCTCACTTCACTCGTTTTGTCATTTTTTAATTTATCCTGAGTGTTTCAAACATATGCTGGCAACTGGACAAACTCATTCACACTGACTTAGGCACAAATATTAAACTTAACACATTACCACTCATCAGCCCTATGGGACTTCCCAAACCAGACTTCATTGTCACTTTATATTTGTTTTACTCCAATAATTGTTGCCTTCCCCCCCCCCCCATTCCTTATGTTTTGTGTGAAACATAAATACGCAGGCACCAGGACATATTTATATACTTGAAATATGCAATCCAGAGGCAACACAAAATTCCAGTTATTCTGTCCTAACCTAAGCAAGATTGGAGAACATATATAACAAATATTTCAAGTCATTTTATGTGGATTAGCATTCATAAAAAATAAGTTAAATTAACTTCAACGCTTCTAAGTAATATTGTTCACAGAGAATAATGTAACAATTAAGCATGTCCGATTCCATCATTTTCAGTGTTCACAAGAGAGAAATGGAAAATGTGTAAAAAGGTTTGGTCAGAAAAGCTGTGCTGAAGTTGGGAGTCTAGACAAACATTTAAGGATAATTTCAAAATGGCTCCTATAGATTTTGAGAGCATGCTGGGGGCATCTAGCACATGGAAGGGATCAAAGGTGGCTCTTACGAATGTGGTAACAAACCTTCAGGTTCCATAAATAGTCTAACATTCACTGATTAGCTCAGCGGCAATTAGCCTTTCAAAAAAGACTGTCTTCACCAAAAATATCATCTCTATATCCCAAAAATTTCAGAAAGTACACATTCTGTCAACTGAGTATTGGATTTTATTATACAGCAGTCTGACTGTTGCTGCTTGCATATGTCCATCAAGTACTGAACTATTCCATGATAACATTACCATGTTTATGGTTCATGGCAATGTACTTACATTGTTTAAAACTATTATTTTGGACTTTGTGCACTGTCTAAATTTATTGAAATTACTATGTTTTGGAAATTGGTAGACCTACTATTTCCATCTTCAGGTGAACATGATATGACAGAAAACATATTCTGTTGACTCAATTAGTGAAGCTACTCTCAACTGTAACATTCTAATTATGTTCCTTTGAGATGTTGCAACTGGTAATATGTCACACTGACTGCACATTTTGTTCCAAAGGACAACCTAATGACATTTTTTAGAAGGCTAAATACAAAATTAGCCCACTGGCATTGCATTCAAAATAAATTCTTAAAAATTATGATGTTTTTCATGGTTTGAGAACATGCCTACCAAGGGGCCTTGCACGGTAGGTTTTCTTTTGTATCCTGCCACCTGAAGATGGAAATAGAATCAGTTTCCACTGAGAAGATTAATACAGTGGTAATGAACTATACTTCTATTTGCGGAGTGCTTGGTTCAAATCTCGACCAGGACACTAGCTGAGACTTCCACGGTTTTCCTCTGTCTCTCCATGCAAATACATGTATAGTGCTTTGATTTGGTGACAACCTCTTCCTTCCAAATCTTTTCCAATTCTTAATTGACCAATGTGTCATTTGATGCTATATAGCCTACATACTGTCAGCATTATAAAATAAGCATAAAAAAGAATCAATATTGGAAACATAGTACTTCTGATAAACTCTGATGGACAAAGTCCAAAATTATGGTTTCAAAGAATGTGTCAAAAAACTCTGCACTCAGTGTACAATAATCAGACACACTAATCACAAAATTTTATGGCAGTTGTAGATGAATAAACAAGGGGCTGACTGCAATATAATGTGTGCCCGTTTCTCATCATCACTCACCTCTATTTAGACGAAATTTGCTGTGTTTCTCAACTAACTCCTTGCTGACTAGAATTTCAATTTCCAATAATGAGATCACACCTTGTTTTTCACACTGGGCATCAGGGCAGGAAATGTCATAAGCCCCTTCTTGGATTTCAAACTCGATGTAGGACTTCATGCACTGAAATTAAAGGAGAAACATTTAATTAGATATATGAGTGAAGAGTAGTGATGTCAGATGGTAAAACTGAGACCTGGGGAATCACAGTACGCACGCTTCCAGCTTTACAGGTGCCATCACAAATGTGAGATTCAGGGATATCTAACTGTAACCATCTGTATACAAAATGAGGGCTGTTCAAATGGAACTTGTTCAGAGATTGTTCTAAGCACCAGCTGATGAACCAGCTTCACAAAGAACTCCCTGAACTACTGCTGAAACTAATAAAACACGTCAGCTGACATCTTCAGCTGACCAAAATCTATGGCCATTTATAATTTTCTTGAGGGGGCCAAACACACAAATCGGTTTCACTTGGAATAAGCCTCACATATTCTTGATCAATTAGTATATTTGCTGCACCTGTGGCGCGCCACAAACAAACATAGGATGATATCAAAGAACTTTCTTCTCAAGAAAGACAGGTGGCACAAGTTCAGCCCCCATCAAGAAAGGCGATAAGAGAAAGGATACAAACCTATTTGGTTTATATATTCTAACTTAAATAACAAAAGTTTTAAAATATTCAATATACCAAGACAGCTGCTGTAGTTGTGAAAACTTTGGATTGTGTATCTATTGTGAATTACATTGTATGTGTACATATTTTAACATTCAGAACACCCTTTGAAATAGTGGTTTCCAAACAGTATCGATGTCCCTCTGATGATGGTCTATAAGGACTGAAACATGTAAAGGTGTTAAGAATTGAAGTACCCAAGAACTTCAACAGTCACACTCGACAGAGATGTTTTATCTTTTATAATGAACAATAGCAAACATCATCCAAATTTAATCTGCTCTTAATTTTCTCACAGATCAAGTTTTGATTTTTTTACTGCAGTTCCCAAATATTTTAACTCTTGCCACATTTCTGAAGGATCTAAAGCTATCTTCATATTATGATTTGTCTTGCATTCTGGTGACAATATGTCAACATGTACCCAGTTTTTTTTTGTGTTTATGAACAGACCACCATCAGTGGCATACATTGGGTACTCTGTGTTTTTCTTCATGGTATTTGGGTTATCTTCCAATACATTTACAGATTAATATGACACATTTAGCTTAATTATTCAGATAGAATGACTGACATAAACAATACCAACACAAATTCTACAGTATAAACCATGACGAAGCTGGGACTGAGAAAGACCATGGAAGAGACAGCAGGAATATGTTAGGTCAGAACAGGCTTGACTGCTTATATGGTGGAGGAGGTGGAGGTGGAGGAGGTTGAGTGGGAGGAGGTGGTGGAGGAGGATGAGGAGTCAGTTCTGACTGTAGATCGTTCACACTTGGAGAAATCTACTTCGAATCTCAGTTTGTGTCAAATATTCTGATTCGGAGCATTCAACTCAGATCTGAGATTCTCACAGCTGTGACTATGAAGATTGTTGCTTCAACCCTGATGACAAGGGCTGAATGTTCCTCCGAAACATCAGCAAACATCTAAATAGAAGGAGTGACATCCCAAAAGACAATAATCTCCAACATCTTCACGTTTATTTTTCAGCATCTCTAGTCAAATACAGAAGCATTAACATTAAATGCTTACAATCTCATACTACGAGTATTTTTACTTATTTGTTATCACTACTACTCATCCATCTTATCAGCTACCCAATTTTTTAACCTTCAGCAAGCCAAACAACTAAGGAATTGTCCCTTGAACCTTCTAAAACTGCATGTGAATTTCTGATGTAGATTAGTGGCTATAACACATGTCAATTTGAGCTTTCATGCCTTTGGAAGGATCGAATGACTGACTGTAGGAAATGAGACTACACATAGGCCTACACAACGTGATTTTCACTCAGTACTAGAGGTAACGTTCTACCCTTCTACTCGAGAGGTTCGAATCTCGACCTAACACCGGCTATTCTTAAGGGCGTATCTTGCTTTTCCTTGGCCCATTCGGGCAAATGCCAGGATATCATCTTCATTATTTCATGGCCGTTTCCTCTCAAATTCATCCATCATCATACGTACCATTCGACATAGTATAGTTTTGACAATGAAACGACGTCGTTAAATAGCATTAAAAAGTGTTGGTACCAGGGGCGGCCCGTGTATAGGCACTGAGGAACTGGAGCACCCCCAATTTCCACATGATATTATCGATAACATTTATATAATGAGTCCTTTTTTCTTTAATTCTTTCATTATACTTGTACAATACAATATATAATCCTTAAGCTTAATGTCAGTAGCCAATCTTTGTACGGAACTGTGCGCTTCTGGAGCAGCACCCCCACTAATTTTAGCTACGAGCCGCCACTGGTTGGTACTGACTGATTCATCGGGCTGGTTTGTATAAATTCAAACTCGCAAAACAAAATCAACATTTCTTCATCTGTGATTGAGGTTATAATGAACTTGTTTACTGATATTTGGGCGTCCTTGTTTACATGTTTATTTCAGCGCTTCAAGTTCTCTAGCACCGACTAATTGAAATGTAAACCAGGCCATGGCTGAAGCATTTAGTCGTTGGATTCCCGACCTGGAAACCGGGATACCTTCTTATGGCTCCACATGCAGGAAGGGTGAGAGGGAATAACAGGGGCGGGGCTTTCCTTGAGCACTTTGGTTTTCTCCTTATCATGTCCCACCATTTTGCATACTCGATCTGCCCCATCTGAAGCTGCAGTACCAAGCGCCTCAGCATTACCGCACTCATAAAATAAAATGAAACAAAAATAATATGATGTGTGATTATTCTTGTGTGTGGGGAGCTGCTACTGAGTATTCTAGCACAGATATACTGTATTAAATTAAGTCCTGGGGAGTAAAGCGCGGCCGGCGAGTAAGGCTGACAACCTTACCGCCATATATGAGCCGATTGTCCAGATAATGTGGGACCCTCAGCGTCTCACAACCCTATGGGCCTTCACGGCCTGGTACACGGGTAGCTTTACTTTACTTTTACCTGATAAAGTGAAATAATTAATATTATAAAAGTACATTTTTCCCTATCGCTTATTTCTGCACCATGCCACGAAGACATATGGGGGAGTGGAGGCATAGTTCCACTATTCTTAACCTCGACACTAGATGGAGATGAGTGGTCAGCTTCACGCCTCAACCGCTTCACTCCCAGGAAACGAGCCCCAGGTACCCACTGGATAGGTGGATGGGTGCAGTCTCTTCGGAGCAGAGAACAATCTCTTACATCTGCCTGGAATCGAAGCCTGGACGTCCATCTCATACTCGCCCACTATAATGACTAACCTATTCCGGCATCGTTTCTGATCGTTTTACATATATACATATATTAGAAAACTATAAATATTTAATTCACTGTACAGAAGTTGTTTCAAAGAGACATGAACAGGTGTAATTTTTATCATGACACTTAAAAGTAATGTTCAAGGTAAAATGTTTCTCTAATACACTAAATAAATAAGATCGTGTTGGACTCTTCACTTGTTTACTTGTTTGTCAAGATTATTTAACGACGTCAGGCTTATAAAGCGTCGAATGAGAAGACGATTGTGAATAAACAGGGAAATGTCTGGAAAGAACTGATCAACAAAACAGGATTTTCCTTACTGCTTCTCAGGCGGCAAAACAATTTCTAAGGCAATATGTCTTATAGATGTATGTGAAAACAAACTATTTTTATCTGTATTTGTTGTATAAGCCAGAAAATAGGGCCAACCCCTATTTTTCCAGCGACAAAACCTGGGGTTCCTCTTGCTCCAAAATTCAATACAATTTAATTTAGAGGGTTTAAAGTAAAAAGTAGTAAAATTTATACTATTAAGAAATAAAATATTCAAACGTTAATAGCTCAAATATAGGTATCTTCACAAATATCATTAGAATTGCCAACGAGAACTCCTCAAAATCCTCCTCTTTTCTAAGAAGCAGTATTTGAGAAAAAAAAGTTATGGGAATAACTGAACGCATACCGGGACTTTCCTTTGATACGACATGAACTGCAGAGAAAACGAAAAAATTCTTTGGGGGGGAACAAACACAGACAGACAGCAAGGTGATCTCATAATCCTCTTTGTACGTTTTCAAAATAGGGAAGGCAGGCTAAGACTTCGCCTTGTATTAGGACTGACACAGTAGTTCTGTATTCGTAATTTCATTGTTAAGTAGACTCTATGTGAAACGTACGAAACAATAGCTCTGCCTACAGATACTCCTACAACCATATTATAATCTGTCTTCAGTGACCTCGAAGTAAGCAGACCTACACAATAACTGTGACCGTCCAAACTGAACTGCATCAGTGCAAAGGGCAAAATGGCTGCCATGAACCGGAACCTGCCTACGCCCAACTAACGACACCTCTAAATTAGTAAAACAGTTGCAAAGCTGGAACTTTAAACCGAGAGACCAGATTTGTTTACACTTCGCTTTATAATTACCAGAAAATTCATAGATCCTACTCAGAAAACCGATGTCTCTTTAAATTGGAAGTCATCCATCGCGAAGTTCGTGCCCTCGGAAAGTAACAGAAATGACCTGCACATAGTTAACGAACGGGATCTGAACATGCGTTCCCATTGTGCAGGCTGTCCTCCCTGGTACCGGTATCGGAGTTTGATTCTATGTAGAGCCTAACGACAATTATATCAAGAAAATGAATTTGTATTTTAGGGCCGCGCCATAGCTCAAGCGGTTAGTCGCTAGCTTCCCGCGGCGGTCCGGGTTCGATCCCGGGTCTGGTCAAGTGGAATTTGTGTTGGACAACGTGGCGCTGGGGCAGGTTTTGTCCGAGTACTTCGGTTTCCCCTGCCAATCTTCATTCCACCAATTTCTCCACAATCACCCTCACCTATCATCTGGGGCTGGTACAATAGGCCACAAGTGGCCGCAGTACAAGGGACTTAGTCCCACCTCACTAGCATTAAAATAAATTCTGTGCAAGTTGGATCGCAGAGAAAGCGTCTCACTCGTACAGTTACTTCTAGATTTATGTGGTAACTGTTTCCTCAAAAATATCG